GGACAGAGAAATGGTAGGAATACAAAGGATAAGTAGATAAGATGGATAGATAAATGAGGAGTGTTAAGCAAGCGAATGGGGGGAATGGGGAAGGCGTAGATGAAAGTGAAGATGGAGATGTGGAAGTGAGAATAAGGATAATTGGACGAAATAGGATAAAGGAAGAGGGAAAACGAGGAAGAAAGAAGGACTGTGATAGCTAGAAAATGAGATGAAAGGGAGGAGAGAAAGTAGGATGGATGATGACAAAGAGAACTAGGAAAGTAGGTACATGGAAATGGGAAATAGGAGGGATAAGGAAAAGTGTGGATGAAATGGGAGATGGGAGAAAGAAGAGAGAATGAAGGAGAGCGAAAATGATGAAACTGGAACAGGTGGAGGAGGAGAGGGGGGGGTATAGAAAAGGGGAATAGGCAAAACGTGGATAAATGAGGGAGGAGAGAGAAGTTAGGGAGGAGAAGGAGGAGGAGGAGGAGGAAGAGGAGGAGGAGGAGGAGGAGGAGGAGAAGAAGAGAAGAAGAAGAAGATGAAGAAGAAGAAGAAAAAGAAGAAGAGGTATAGGAAGAAAAGAAGAAGAAGAAGAAGAAGAAGAAGAAGAAGAAGAAAAAGAAGAGGAAGAAGAAGAAGAAGAAGACGAAGGAGGAGGAGTAGGAGGAGAAGAAGAGAAAAAAAAGAAGAAGAAAAAGAAGAAGAAGAAGAAAAAGAAGACGAAGGAGGAGGAGTGGGAGGAGAAGAAGAAAAATAAAAAGAAGAAGAGAACGAAGAAAGAGGAAAGTATTAGAAAAAAAACAAAGTAAGAAATCCAATGAAACCAAAGATATATCGTTACATCAACAGCCTTATCCCTCAGAACTGCAAGCAAAGTCCAAACTCACCCCCGGAGGCACCCATTTATATACGACTTCCTCCGCGTAGGCTCTAGTCACCATCCAGCCGTACATGGGGTAGGTTCGCGCCCTCAGCAGCTGCCGAGGGTCACTGGCCGTGTCCTTGTAGCTATTACTGCTGAAGGCGTTGACGCAGAAGACTGTAGGATCGATGTCTAGGATTCGGGATACTTGGTGGAAGTAACTGTTGATAAAAATGAATAAATTAGTAAATAACAGGATGAAAAAATAAGGGTGTAATAGGTTATTATCATATAGGAATCGTTGTTACTATTACTGTCGTCATGATTATTACCAGTCATCACTGTCATTAATACCATCTTCATCATCATAATTATCATCGTTGTTTTTGTTATCATTATCATCTACGGTATGCTCATCACTGTATCATTATATTATATATCATCATTATGAATATCATATATGATGATAATAATAATAATAATAGTAATAATAATGATAATGATAGTAATAATAACGATAACAATAATAATAATAATAATAATAATAATAATAATAATGATAACAATGACGATGATGATGATAGTAGTAGTGGGAATAATATTGATAATAGTAATAATACTTACTATTATAACCATTCTCATCATCATCATCATTATCATGATTAATAATAATGGTTGTACTAGTAAAAGTAGTAGCAACAGCAGTAGTAGTAGTAGTATCATCATTATTAATATCATTATTATTGTTATCATAATCATAACCCAAAGCCCTACCATTATCATTACCATCATCTTTATTATCTTCATCATTATCACCAATATATTCGACTGCTGCTGTTATTTTTATTGTTATCATGAACGTTATTATCAGCCGTTTCCTTAATGTTCCATTCATCATTTTACATCTATGGGTTACTGTTACTATTACCACCACCTGTGCCCCTACTAGGTACTACTACTACTACTACTACTACTGCTACTATCACTACCACTACTACTACTACTACTACTTTTACTACTACTGCTACTATCACTACCACTACCGCCTCCACTACTACTAGTACTACTTTTGCTACTACTACTAAATGTACTATTACTTCTACTATTACCACCACTATTACCACCACTATCTCTTCTACTACTCCTACTACTACTACTACTATTACCACCGTTATTACTACTACTGATACTGCTACCACTGCCATTACTGCTTCCACTACTACTACCACTACTACTCCTCCTACTACTATTACTAACACTACCCCCGCTACTGCTACTGCTTCTGCTACTATTACTGTTACAATTACTACAGCTACTCATGCTACTACATCTGTGACTACTTCTACTACTGCTATCTTTTTTACTATATTGCTGACTTAATTACTACTATTACTGCTATTACTACCGATGCTACTACGACTACTGTTACCACCACTACTCCTACTTCCCCTACTATTACCACTACTACTACTATCACCACTACAACTACTGTTACTACTACTACTACTACTACTCCTACTACTATTACCAGCACATTTCTACCACCATCACAGTCACCATTACCCATTCTTTTCATATTATTTCACCCGTCGATTTCCCCTTCGTACCTCAATATATCGGGCGACAGAATCAAATCGTCCTCGAGCAGAATGGCTTTGTCCGCCGTCGAATAGCGAGCGAAGACGGTGTGCAGGGCGTAGCGGATGTTAGCGTTCGTCCGCTCGTTTCTAGCGCTTTCGGGGGCGTGGGCGACGACGGGCAGATGCAGCACTTCAGCCAAGGCGATGGTCTCTGCGTGGGCTCCGTCGACGACTATGAGTACCGGGGTTTGCCACGATCCGGGTACGGTGAAGAGCTGGCGGATTAGTCTGGAGGAGGAGGGGGAGGTGGAGGAGGAGGAGGGGGAGGTGGAGGTCGTGGTGGAGGAGGGGGGGGGGAGAAGAGGAGGTGGAGGTGGATGGGAAGGTTGAGGTGGAGGATGAGGAGGGGGAGGGAGGATGGAGGTGAGGAGGAGGAGGAGGAAGAAGATGAAAAAGAGTTGGAGGGAGTGGAGGTGGAGGAGGATGTAGTGGTGGTGGAGGAGGAGGGTGAGAAGGAGGAGGAGGGGGGAAAAAGGGATGAGGGTGAGGGGGGAAAGGGTTGTTTTTCATTTATTTTTATATATTCATGGAGGCGTTGATTGATGTATCTGTTTATCGGTCAGTGTTGATATATGCTGTTTGTCTGATTGTTTGTGTGTCTATGTATCGTCTGTCTCTGTCTGTTTCCGTCTGTCTCTGTCTGTTTCCGTCTGTCTCTGTCTGTTTCCGTCTGTCTCTGTCTGTTTCCGTCTGTCTCTGTCTGTTTCCGTCTGTCTCTGTCTGTTTCCGTCTGTCTCTGTCTGTTTCCGTCTGTCTCTGTCTGTTTCCGTCTGTCTCTGTCTGTTTCCGTCTGTCTCTGTCTGTTTCCGTCTGTCTCTGTCTGTTTCCGTCTGTCTCTGTCTGTTTCCGTCTGTCTCTGTCTGTTTCCGTCTGTCTCTGTCTGTTTCCGTCTGTCTCTGTCTGTTTCCGTCTGTCTCTGTCTGTTTCCGTCTGTCTCTGTCTGTTTCCGTCTGTCTCTGTCTGTTTCCGTCTGTCTCTGTCTGTTTCCGTCTGTCTCTGTCTGTTTCCGTCTGTCTCTGTCTGTTTCCGTCTGTCTCTGTCTGTTTCCGTCTGTCTCTGTCTGTTTCCGTCTGTCTCTGTCTGTTTCCGTCTGTCTCTGTCTGTTTATATGTGTACTCTGTTTCTTTCTATGTACATTGTCTGTTTCCGTTTGTCTCTGTCTGTTTCCGTCTGTCTCAGTCTGTTTCCGTCTGTCTCTGTCTGTTTCCGTCTGTCTCAGTCTGTCTGTCTGTCTGGTTCTGTCTGTCTGTCCGTTTCTCTCTCTCTCTCTCTCTCTCTCTCTCTCTCTCTCTCTCTCTCTCTCTCTCTCTCTCTCTCTCTCTCTCTCTCTCTCTCTCTCTCTCTCTCACGTATAGTCACAGCCCCACCCATCTGTCTCCAGTATTAAAACAAAGTGTTGAAACATTCAATTTATATCACACACACACACACACACACACACACACACACACACACACACACACACACACACACACACACACACACACCCTATCAATATAGCAAAGGATTTTCCACATCATTAAGTAAGAAGCAGTGCAGAAAACGGAACAACTGTGTATAGTTTACCTGAACAGATGGTAGGGCTTGTTCGCTGTTACTACCACGACTGGGATGGTCTCGCGAATCGGAATGGCGTCCTGGTGGATTGGGGGGGAGAGAGAGAGAGAGAGATAAAATGGGAGTAAAGTGTGAATGATAGATTAAACGAGAATGTAGGAATATTGGGAGTAAAGGGGAGAAGAGAGAGAAATAGATAGATAGATAGATAGATAGATAGATAGAAGATAGATATAGATAGACAGATAGGTAGATAGATAGATAGATAGATAGATAGATAGATAGATAAAGAGAGAGAGAAAGAGAGAGAGAGAGAGAGAGAGAGAGAGAGAGAGAGAGAGAGAGAGAGAGAGAGAGAGAGAGAGAGAGAGAGAGAGAGAGAGAGAGAGAGAGAGACATACAGACAGAAAGTCAGACAGACAAACAGAACTTAATCAAAGTATCAAACTAATATTTTTTTAATCAACCACCAACATTTAATCTTAAGCGATCTTAAAAAAAACGAACACAATACACCCAAGAAATGAAAACATAAGAAACAAATAGACTAATACTTACCTGAACCTTTCGAACCTCCGGGAAGAAGGGGTCATCGCACGAACAGAGGTCACCGTACCCGTCGTACTTCTCGCAAAAGGTCATTTGACGTCTTAAATCAGGTCTCTTGTACCACTCGCAACGCACACCTGGAATAGCCGTGTGATATTGGATTATATCATTATTTTTTGTAAATTTTAATTATTCATTTACCTGTTTTTTTTTTAGTTTTTTTTTTAGTTTTTTTTTTTTAGTTTTTAGTTTTGCGAGGATCTCTCTGAAATAGCCATGTGATATGGCGTTATTAGAGGTATTATGTTCATTAATTTTTGGTGCATATTGATCTTTCATTAACTTGAAATATGGTTGTCATGATCGTATATTTACTGAATTCATTCTGATTTCCATTTATTTAACTGACCACTGTATGTGTACGGTAACTTTTCATTGATTGATTTATCTGAAATATATTTATTGGGATTTTAGTTTAATTGAAGGCAGGCTGGATTTAACCTATTGTCTTTTTGGTATGTCGAAATGTGGTTGAATGTTTATCCTCTGCGTGAATCAGCGTGTTGGTAGATTGCGTGCGGATAAGGGTGCATTCAAATCGTGTGGGATATTTTGAATAGGGTATTATCTATTTACTCCCCCCCCTCTCTCTCTCTCTCTCTCTCTCTCTCTCTCTCTCTCTCTCTCTCTCTCTCACTCTCTCTCTCTCTCTCACTCTCTCTCTCTCTCTCTCTCTCTCTCTCTCTCTCTCTCTCTCTCTCTCTCTCTCTCTCTCTCTCTCTCTCTCTCTCTCTCTCTCTCTCTCTCATTTTCTCTCTCCCTCCCTCCCTCCCTATCCCCCCCCCCTCTCTCTCTCTCTCTCTCTCTCTCTCTCTCTCTCTCTCTCTCTCTCTCTCTCTCTCTCTCTCTCTCTCTCTCTCTTTCTCTCTCTCTCTCTCTCTCTCTCTCTCGGACTACCAATGCATTTAGCTATCCGTCTCTTTATCTATTTATCTACGTACATACTTTTCTGTTTTGGATTTGTTTTAGTTTATGCTTTATTTGTGTTTCAATGGGTTATATGTGAGAAAAACTAACAACGAGGAGAAGGAAAACAGTAAAAATAAAAAGTATGGAAAGAGAAACTAACAGTAATAGTAAAAAGAAAAAAAGAAAAAGAAAAAAGATAACGACAACAAAACAACAAAAGCAGAAAAAGAAAACGATGAACTTTACAAATACGAAGGCAGTTTCACACGTATCGATTTTTCACCGTTGGCCGTGCGACTTCATGCCCTCTATGTTGAACGCTGTTGATCGTATGATTTTTTTTGTAAGTTTCATTTAGATTCATCGATTTAGAAATATATATATATATATTTCGCCATGAGCAGTACAACTTTGCGTCTTCACTGGCAGATGTCACAGAACCCTTGGATTTTCATGCGTTTTCTTCAGACATATCGATTTTTTGCCGCCTGTCATGGAAGGCGAAAACAAGGTCTACATAGGTATTTATTTAGAACTTGGGTGAAAATGCCGTCTCGTGTTCAAGTGAGCACGGCAGCCGCCCCAGTGGTATAGGGGAAACCAGACGGAAACAACGAAGCATTTGAAACGAGCTCACATTTTTTGTACTTTTTTAATGGGGAAAACAGTTTGGTAAAATAATACTATCGTGACAGTGGCTCCCGTGGATGGCATTTCTCCGCTATATTCCCCTAAAAGTACTGGGCAATGCCACTAATTATATGAAATCCAGACCGTAATGTAAACGAATCAGACAAAGTGACTAATAACAAAGTGCAAGATAACCCAGAACAACGGAACTAATCTCACTTAGTCACATCCACAGTACGTTAAAGGCAACGGTAGATAAACAGATATATAGATAGACAGGAAGACAGGCCAATCAAAGAGAGAGAGAGAGAGAAAGAGAGAGAGAGAGAGAGAGAGAGAGAGAGAGAGAGAGAGAGAGAGAGAGAGAGAGAGAGAGAGAGAGAGAGAGAGAGAGAGAGAGAGAGAGAGAGAGAGACAGACAAACAGACAGAGAAACAGAGACAGACAGAGACAAAGAAACAGAGACAGGCAGACCGACAGACAAACAGACAGAGACAGACAGACAGACATACAGACAGAGACAGACAGAGACAGAGAAACAGAGACAGGCAGACCGACAGACAAACAGACAGACAGACATACAGACAGAGACAGACAGAGACAGATAAACAGAGACAGAAACAGACCGACAGACAAACAGAAAGAGACAGACAGACATACAGACAGAGACAGACAGAGACACACAGAAAGACAAACAAACAGACAAACAACCCAAGCCATATACTCACGCGGAGGTGTCTTAGCCACATGCGCAGTGACGCAGATTTCACGAGAAGGATACGCCAAACCTCGCCTCACAGACACCGCCTCTGCCACCGTCCCAACGCCCTTCACGCCCACCCACGCCCACGCTTCTCCCTGGACCAGCCGCGACGCCCACGAGGAGCCCAGGGCGGTGAGGGCGGCTACAGCGTCTTCTCCGAGGAACATGATCCACTCAGGCTGTGGGAGGGGAAGGGGGGGAGGGGGTAAATGGGCGTGAGGACGGTATGCGAGAGGGGCGAAGAGGGGAAGGGGGGGAGGGGGGAGCTAATGTGGGTGAAGAGAGGTAATGGGGGTGAGGGGGATACGGGAAAGGGGGGGGAGGAGGGAAGGATAGCAGGACGGGAGGGGTATGGGAAGGGGTAAGAGGGGGAGGAGGGGAGGGATGTGAGGGGAAAGGGGGGTGAGGGGAAGATTTTGAAAACGGAAGGGGGGGATAGGGGTTGAAGTGGGGTAGGGGGGGGAAATTTTGAGGATGGGAGAGGGGGAAAGAGAGGGTAATGGGGGTGTATGGGAGAGGAGAGAGAGGGAGAAGTGAGGAGG